AGTGAGCAGGGACATCCTAGACCAGGCTGCTCAGAGCCCTGTCCAACCTGGTCTTGAATGTTTCCAAGGATGGGGCATCCACCATGTTTCTGGGTAACCTGTTCCAGTGTTTCACCATCCTTACTGTAAAACAAATCTTATATCTAGTGTAAATTTACCCTCTTGAAGTAAGCCTTATCTCTTGTTCTGTTGCAACAGATCTCACGAAAAAGTTTGTCCCCATCTTTCTTACGTGACACCTTTAAATACAGAAAGGTCACTATGAGGTCTTCCTGGAGCTCCCTCTTCTCCAGGCTGAATCAAAGAATGGTTTGGGTTGCAAAGGACCTTAAAGATCTAGTTACAACCACCTTGCAAAACATAACTAAAATAGGTGTGTATATGTAGCTACTTATGTATCTGTATATATTAAAAGAGCAAAACCAAACCATAGTTGCTATATCTAGGTCATACTGTTATGTAGGTCACATTGCAACCCTGTAAGCTGTTGTACTGATTAGGCTGAGGCTACCAAGTGACACTGGGAAGAAATCATTTGGTGTTATTGATGAGTTAGAGACCAGAATGGACTGTGTAGCCTTGATTCCTAAAAAATTGTGGCTGATTTGCTGGCTTGGTTTTTTTTTTTTTTTTTGTATTCCATTTCCTTTTATTCCTCAGACTTAGATTCCTGTAACTGTTTGCTTTTGGAATAATCTATTACTTGCCTCAGTCTCCTGACACTATTCCCTTTTCTTTCTTCTGTGTACTGATTTCAGATCATGAAGAGTGAGGTACTGAGAGTGACCCATGAGCTCCAGGCCATGAAAGACAAGATCAAAGAGAACAGTGAGAAGATCAAAGTGAACAAAACCCTGCCATATCTTGTCTCCAATGTTATTGAGGTGAGGGTGGTAGGCTTTTACATAGTGACATGAGAAGGGTGTGCACTTTATAATGTCAGGGAAAAGGGTAGGGAACTCATGAGGAATTCAAGACCTGGAGTATTCTCAGACTACTGATGCTGCCAGAGCCAGGACTTCCATGCTTTTCTGTTGGTTATTTGTGACCTGCAAGTATATGTCTCTTGCCCACTTGTTCTCTGGGTTGTTCCTTAGGCTTTGGGTACTGTTCATCTGTACCTAACAACCATCAGAGGGTGACACAACCCTTCTGAGTGTAAACTTAAGCATCTAAAATTGGACATATGCTCTCTGGAACTTGTGAAACACCAAGTGGCTCTGTTCCTCCATCACATTCTTTTTGTAATTCAGTAATTTTGATTATAGGAAAAAGAATGCTGATAATTTCCTATTAAAAATGGGATTGGTTTGTACTACTGTTTTAAAACTTAATGAGCTTAAGCCTTCATGTGAGCTGCTGTATGGGAGAAGGAATCATGGCCATTAGCTACTACTTCGTTCTGAATTTTGGAACTTCTTTCTATGCACTGTTCCATGCTGCTTCATAAGGAAAGGAAGAAAGGAATTTTTACAGGAGGGCTTTAATGCTTTCAGGATTCTACTGCTGATGGATGGTGGAAAGTTCTGTTCATGTATGTTAGAAGTATTAATCCTGGGGATCATCCTTCTAGCCTGGTTACATTGTCTTGAACTCTTTCACCCTGGTTTTCAGCTGCTGGATGTTGACCCAAATGACCAGGAGGAGGATGGAGCAAACATTGACCTGGATTCTCAGAGAAAGGGCAAGTGTGCTGTGATCAAGACCTCTACACGTCAGGTAAAACCCATGTGCCCAATCAGGTGTGAGGTGTGATGCAAAGTATCTTCTGGTAAATCTGATTTTGCTCACCTTGATTTCTTTTTTACAGACATATTTCCTGCCTGTTATTGGGTTGGTTGATGCTGAGAAGTTGAAGCCTGGAGATCTGGTGGTGAGTGATTCTATTGTGATTGTTAGATATGGTGGCCAGAAAATTGCATATGTCCTGCCTTTAAGGAAGAAGACCAGTCTGTCCAGGAATGAACCCAGATGGGTTCAGTTAGATTTGTAGTAAAGGAAAGCAGTTTGGGGTGTGTGTCCTTTATACCTACAATTAGGTGCTGAAAGTTTAGAGACCACTTAGTAAGTTTTTTGTGTCTTTTTATTGTAAATAAACTGGAGCACTCATTTAAAAAGTTGAAGGTTGACAGTGGCTTTGTCCACTCTGCCAAGCTGGGGTGATTTGATGAATGCCAGTATCAAACCTGGTCATTCCTGCATCCTTGAGGTCTAGTTAATCAGCTTTGTTTGCATGTTTATTAAATGCTATCTGAAGGACCTGTTAAAAGCAAAGGACTTGTGTTTACAGGGAGTGAACAAAGACTCTTATTTGATCCTGGAGACTCTGCCTACTGAGTATGATTCACGGGTGAAAGCCATGGAGGTGGATGAGAGGCCCACAGAGCAGTACAGTGACATCGGGGGGCTGGATAAACAAATCCAAGAGGTGATACTTTATGTATAGTTTCTGGTGTGACTGTGGACAACAGTCTTTGAACTTCAACTCAAACCAGACAGCCTGGATCTATGGAGAAGAATGGATTTATGTATTAATACTTTTCTTTTGTTGTAGCTCGTGGAGGCCATTGTCCTGCCAATGAATCATAAGGAGAAATTTGAAAATTTGGGTATACAGCCACCCAAAGGAGTCCTTATGTATGGGCCTCCAGGAACAGGGAAGACACTTTTAGCTCGAGCATGTGCTGCCCAGACCAAGGTAAAAGGAACCTGTGAAAGTGTGTGCTGCTGTAGAATAGTACCTGACAAAGAGTAAGAACACCTCCAGGGGAAGAAGGTCATACACACAAATTGGTGTTACAAAGGCTGGGATTTTCCTGTCTATTTGCCTGCTTGCTTGTTTTAATTAAGGGCTTCCTATAGTACTCAGAAGTGATGCTGCTGTGAAATGAGGCCTAGGATTGATTCTCTTTCACTTCCCAGGCCACGTTCCTGAAGCTGGCGGGTCCACAGCTTGTGCAGATGTTCATTGGTGACGGAGCGAAGCTGGTGCGCGATGCTTTTGCTCTCGCAAAGGAAAAAGCTCCTTCCATCATCTTTATTGATGAACTGGATGCCATTGGCACTAAAAGGTGAGCTGTAGTCCATGTTGTAAAGTTCTTGGGAGCTGCCTAGCAACCTCCTTTGCCTGTGTATGTAAGCAGAGCCTTTTAAAGCACAGCTTACTCAGAGAGTGTGAAGACAGTCACAGATGGATAGCAATTGCCACAATCCTTGGGCTCAGCAGCAACGTTTGTCAGACTTGGGATCTGTCTGATAGACTCCTGCTGTATAAAACCCTTTTCTGACCACTGCAGTAGGCACCTGGAGGTGTTCACTCTCATTTACTACTTGTGCCTGGACAACATAAGCCCCATTCAGCTATAATGACTAAATAAGTCTTATATGCTGCTGACAGTTATTGTAGTTGCAGTCCTCATCATAGTAGGACTGTAGTTTCAAGGAAAAATTTGGAACATCTCAGCCAAGGAGCATGAACTGCAGTCATTCTGTGTTTTGATGTGATTAAAAGCAGGGACAGGGTGGTCAGGTTCATACTGATAGTTTTACTCTTGTTTCCACTCAGGTTTGATAGTGAGAAAGCTGGTGACCGAGAGGTGCAGAGGACCATGCTGGAGCTGCTTAATCAACTTGATGGTTTCCAGCCAAACACACAAGTCAAGGTTGGGAGCTAGCAGGGAAGTGCTGCTGAGGTCCAGGGTGCTCTAGCAGGGGATGGAAAACAATGTCCAGGGGAAGAGGCTTGGTGAATCTTGGGGGAGAAGAGGCCTGTCTTCCAGGTGCCTCACACTGCTGATCCTACTTCTACCTAGGTGATTGCTGCAACCAACCGGGTTGATATCTTGGACCCAGCTTTGCTCCGCTCTGGACGATTAGATCGGAAGATTGAGTTTCCAATGCCTAATGAAGAGGCCAGAGCCAGAATTATGCAGATTCATTCACGCAAAATGAATGTCAGGTACAGCCTTCTGGGGCTCTTTTTGTCACTCAGGATGGTACCTCAGGGCTGAGAAGTGGTTGGCAGTCACTTGTTGGGAGCTCACTGTGGGGCTGAGGAAACTCCCTGCATTGCTTTTTCTATTTGGTACATGCTCTCAGACTTTTTTTCCCATTTGCTCATATCAGCCCTGATGTGAACTATGAGGAACTGGCTCGCTGCACAGATGATTTTAATGGAGCCCAGTGCAAGGCTGTGTGTGTTGAAGCGGTAAGTATTCCTCCATAGGAATAGCACTGATGGGAGGGAAATGTGAAAGCTAGCGTGGAGTAATTATTTGGAACTGGTGTGGTGCTCACATTCCCTCTCTAAATACTGTCTCATTGGGCAGGGGATGATTGCCCTCCGCCGTGGAGCAACAGAGCTCACCCACGAGGACTACATGGAAGGAATCCTGGAGGTTCAAGCAAAGAAAAAAGCCAATCTGCAGTACTATGCCTGATCCCTGCCTGGTTAAGGTTGAGGCCTTGGCAGAGGACAGGAGTAGACTGGACTGTATCACTTACTTTCTGTCTGGAAAAAATAAAGCATTTTTTCCCTTTAAAAACAAATCCGTGATGTGTTGGGGATGTTGCCCTTGCTCTACAAGGTGGTTCTGCATCTGTGTCAGGAAGGCTAAAAGCCTCCTGTCCACAGTGCCCATCATGCTGCCTTTGGACCCTCCTTCAGCTAGAACTGGACTAAACCCTGCTCTGATACTCGCTCATGAGGACCAAGAGGCTACACTGCAGTAAGTGTACTGTGACATTGATGATCTGCAGCTCAGACAGCATCCCCAGTTCTTGCCTGTGCAGCCAGTGAACAGCCTTCAGCCTTGTTAGACTTTGAAACTTTTGAACATTAATTTTGCAAGGGTGAACACAGCTCACACGTGAATTGATGTTTTAACTTGGTCACTTGAATTTAGCTCTTGAAGCTTTAAGACTGTTGCTGGTATATGTATGTGAGCTCTCTGGAAAAATCAGTCATTAGTCATAAAGAACTCGAGGTTTCATCCACTGAGCAAGTCTTTCAGTACTTTTAATGCCAGTTGAGAATTACAACTTCCATTTAAAAATTACACTTTTCATAAATACACTGACTTTAGCATTAAATATCTTACATGCCACTGTATTGTATTTTAAATACAATGTAAACATCTCCAAATGCTGGCCATCTCATCTTTACCTGTGCAGTTTTTAGATGCTTGGGAGAGGGGCAGGGATGTGAGAAGGGAAAAAAAAAATAGATGGATGAAAGAAAAATGCACTCCAAAGTACTTTGGCTGATGTTCCTGAGTTAGCCCTAGTACTTGTGCTGGTACCAAGGTCCTTAGTGCTCATTTTGGAGAGGGATCTTGTTCCAGCAGAACACGCGTGTTCTTGACACGCTGCGCTCAGGGCATTTGACATTGGAAGGGCGTGAGTGGAGAACTGAGCAGAAGCCACACGTTCCTGAGGAAAATACACTGTGGTTCCTTTGGACACTAATATTAGAGGGGGCTGTACATCTGCTATTTTAGCAGTACTGTTATTTGAGCTCAGGGAGAATTACTCATCTCCTTTCACAGCAGTTGCACCCACAAGTTAGTTCAGTAGTTCAGGAGTGAAAGTTGATCCTGGCAGCTCAAACTATGACACATTTTGAAAAATGTACCTCTGGTGGAATAAGTAAAAGCTGCATGTTGCATACATCTCCCCATTAAAATAAAGGTTTGTTAGCCAAATGAGTAACCTTCACTGTGTAAGAAGCTGAGAAAAACTTTCCTCTGCTTTCCCAGAGTCTAAGTTTTCTTGGGGTCTTGCTGCTCAGTTACAGCTAGCTCCTTTTGGAAACAGTTTTGAGTAGTGAGTAAATAGCTGAATCCACAGCATGGAATAGCACAGGTTTCTGATTTAAATAAATTAATACTAAGAATGGGCTAATTCTTTGGCCTAAACCTCAGCTTAGATCAAGGTTCTTTTGGGAAAGGATGGCCTGAGCCAACACTAGACATGCCACATGTTGCAAAAGTGTTCAAGCCAACTTCACTTAGCTCCTTGCCCTAAATTGGGTCTGAATTACACAGACCTGCAGCAATAGAGTTGGTGCGTAAACATCCCTTACAACTGGACAATAACAGGACCATGGAGGTACAGTTCAAAAAACAGCACAAAAAAAGACACAACCTCGGACTTAATCCCTTGTAAACAGAAGAAAAACAAATTTAAAGAACTGTCCCCCTTAAACCATCAATGATCAAGTTGCCAATAATTCAAACCTGGAGTTACTTTGCAATGTCCGTGTCTGCGACTGGAGGCTGTAGCAGCGTCCCACGGGCTGGCATTTCAACAGCTCTGGCACTGCTCTCCACACGCTGACATGCCACCTCTTCCTGGTGTTAACCCACAGCTCTGCCCAGGCTGCGCTTTCCAGAGTCTCTCCTCACTCCCTCCGGGGTCACACGGCCCCATTTTCTTGTCTGGGTTTTTGTACAGATGCCCGGGAGGTGTTGAGTGATGGGGCCAATGTGCAGAGGAACCCAGCCAGCAGGGTGAGGCCCAAGCCCCCCCAGGCACAGAACATGGACCAGCCATAGCCATGACTGATGTCCTCTGGCAGCCCATAGACGTAGCGAGGATAGCGGGATAACTCAAAATTGATCCCAGCTACGCATGTGCAGAGTGAGATGATGCAGCAAGTACCTGCAGGAGAAAAGCAAGAGGGTTCTACACTGCCCTCAGACAGGTTAATTATGCTCTTTTTCCCTCAGTATTTTCAAAGTCATGGATTTACAAAATCAAGAATTAATTACCCTTGGGTTTTTTTCTGCAGTTCTACCAGCCATTCTCCTTATAAGGCAGAGGAAAAAAAAGGGAGGATATGTAGGACTACAAGATACTTCACAAATAACCACTGTTACCTTAACACCTTTCATTGCAATTTTGAACTCAGTCATAGTTCATTATGCTTTGATTCTCCTGAGACTACTTCCTATGTCTAATGTCTTCAGGTTCCAGATAGTACTTGGGCAGTTTCTCCTATGAAAGGTAATTAGCTCACTGAATCCCAGGGCTGCAAAGTGCAGCACTTTTTGGTTTCCACCAGGAACACCCACACTTCTGCCAGCTGTACCCTAGGCCCACAAAGCATGCCCAGGTTTTTGTCATCTGCTACACATTCACTGAACACCTATATAGAGGAGAAAAAATCCTAAGATACAAGGCACTCTAGTATGTCTAATATACATACTATCTTGTATGTCTAATATACACCAGAGTACACTAGACTCCAGGTCTATACTGCCCATTTTCAAGTTGAAAAATCAAAGCTCGGAAAAACCTTTGGCCACACAAAGTCTGCTCCCACCCCGGACAAACAGAGGTAACACCCCTGGCAAGCACTGAGCTCACATCCTTATCACCAGGCCAGGGTCCTCTGAGGTTTGGCTGGTTTGGATTTCATCATTACATGAAGATCTAAGCATCTTTGAGTACCAGAAAGGTGCTCTATATTAACTTATGTTTGCTTGTTACGATTCCTAGGGAAAACTGGGCTGAACTGTCTGACAGGAGCCACAGGCTGCACGCTTGGAGCAAGCCAGAGGACTTGCTCATTGTGCACATAGCCCCTGTGGCTACACACCAGCTTTCTAGCACAGCAGGCTCATACACACAGACTGGGGTCTACTGAAACATGCAATACCCATGCAAGCACAGGTCCTGCCCAGTGCTGAAGTGGTAACTGCGCTGTGCTGACAGTAACTGCTTCACGTGCTCCTAGAGGGCTGACCTTACTGTTACTTTTGCAAGGCAGCAATACTGAATGTGATGACTTGAGGAGCAGAAGCAAAAGGCTCTCACCTCCCATTAGGAAGAGCAGCCCAGCCACGTACTGCATGAGCTCCTGCTGTTTGCAGCAGCCCAGCACACCAATGATCCACCCAAACAAGATGATGGAGACTGCCATGCCAATGAAGCCAGCTGTCATCCTGCGCAGATCTGAAGGAAAAGGAGAAAAGCAAGACAAGACATGAAGATGGCAGTACCTAGAGAGAACAGCCAGGGTAGAGTCCAGACAGATGTGCATTTACTGGTTCTAAAGTTTATATTTCAACCATGGACTTCTCCTGTAGCTTCTTTGAGATAGATAGTTTTCCCATTACACTAAAACTATAAGGGAATCCATCTAAAATGGCTCTGTTCTGCTGGGCATTGTGCAACTAGAGAGCATTTCTGTCCTGATCCAGCCAAATACTCCCCAGCATGGGACAGAAGGGGTGCATCACCAACTCTTGTTAGTACCACAAGGGCTATTTTTATCTTTTCGTTTTTTTCGGAGGTGGCATCTTTCTTTGGGATAGAGTTTGTTGGGGGAGAAAATTTTCTGCTGAAAATGGAAACAAGAGAAGCAAAACGGGACACTTGAGAGGACTAAAGGATTAATACATGGGAGGCACACAGTGTGAACTGAAGAAGAATAGTGGGAGGACAGAAGCAGACAGCAGATCAATACAGTATTATGGGAACAAGTCCAGTAACAAGCTCTAAAAGAAAAAGCTTGGGTACCAGTGACATGAACAGCACTTTGTTATCCATAGTAAAATTGCTGTTCTTGTCTCCTAGTTCAGTCTCCAGCTGAACTAGGATTTCCTTGGCACTGACTCTCACATGACAGGGGCTATGTTGAATTATGTGAGCAATAGAACAAAAAAAAAAAAAAACAGAAGTGGGAGAAGAAAAAACTGATTAGATCATTCTCAGTCACAGACTACAGGTCAGTTATCTGTGTGGGAAGGACTTGGGCATGAGGCAGCTTGTGGTCCAGGTGCTGCAAACTGACAAAGAAAAACTGAGATGTTCCCTAAAAGAACTGGTCTCCAGGGGGTTGCATCAGGTCACTGGTGTGCACACAGAAAATTGCAACAGGATCTATACAATGATGCAGCACCTTTGCAGTAAGCCAGCTAGGAACTGTCTGTGCCCAGATCCAGAACACGATTACACCTTGCCATTCACTACACGTCTGTACTCCTGAATTCCCAGCTTTAAGCCCCTCCAAATCTCATGTCCCCTTCCAATCATACTCCTCACTAATTGGTCTGTATCTATGCTTAGAGTCCAGTGCCATGCTTAGATGAGGTGATTCTGAGCCCTCAGCTGGCATTAAGGCATTTAGTGGTCCAAACATTGTTGTGCCCTGCTCTGAGCTACTTACGGAGCGCGTGCCACTCATCCTGCCGGATGGTGTTGGTGATGTTGATGGGTAAGTTGCGAGGCAGAGAGCTGGAGGTGTAGTGGTACTTCACAGCAGTGCAGCGCTGAATAACTCCTGTAAAGAGACATCAGTGTGAAACAGCATGAAACCTCTCTGCCTTGCACTTGCTGCTGAGTTGGCTGGCCCAGCAGAGCTTGCACAGGGGAAGCCTTAGTTCAGTAACTAAGAGCAAATGTAACCAAAAAAGAGCTGTTTACTTCAAAGGCTTTGGGATTAGGAGGGGAGAGAACCTACAAAGAAACACCTGCAAAGCAGGAGCCAGGTGCTCTCTCCAAGTCGCAACAGCGGAAGTTAAACAGTAATGACAGTCAGGAAAAACACCTCTAAAAGCTTTCTAGTGGAACTACTATGATCTTTTTGGATGTCTAAGGAGACAAGAACGTGGCCAAGTACCAACAGGACTGCTTCATCTCTAAGAAGTCAGAATTGAAACACTTTGAAAATTTTGAATGAATGCTGGAAAGTGAACCGCATAGGAGAATCTTTTGAACTCACTCCAATAGTCATTGGCTCTTTGCTTTACTTTCAATGAACAGTAGTACCCAGGCAGGCTTGTTTCCATTATAGCTTAAAGAAAATGTACCCCAGATGTAAATGTGAACTTATAAGCATGTTCTTCTTGAAAGGGATTTTTAATTTAGAAAATGGGAGAGAATAAACATGGATGATGGAGTAGAATAGAGCAACCAGAGAGGTAAAAGAGCTAAATGGTACAAAAAATTCCTCTTAAACAACGGCTACAGGGTCATTACTGCTATTTGAATTTTGGAGCAGAAGAACCATTCAAAAACAATCAACTGGCCAATGAGCTAATTAAGCTGGTGAACAATCACTAGCAGGGAGCTGCAGATTCAGTGATCAGCTTTGCAAAAGACCCTAGAAAACCCAGGAGAAGAACTGAGCTTTGTGTGGCTCCCATAGCAATGAGAAGCATGATTTTGTTCTCTAACAATGTTCACTGGGACTGTACTGACCTGGTTTCTGCAAGGACCTGCAAAGAGGAAGCCCCCATTTCACAAGATCAGAAGCTACATACGAGAGGCCCTGGCAATTCCATCCAGCCATAGGGTCAGGGAGGGAAAGGTGATCTGAATTTCCTCCCATTTCAAGCAGGCTCCCATTCTCAGCTATGCTTCCCACCACCCCTTCCCTTGCTGTGGCTCCCTGCTGCTTCCCCAGCACCACAGAGCACTTCCAGCTGCACACCATACACAGAGGTGCTGCCCTTCACCTGCAGCCAGTGGCCCTCTCCTGCTGAGCAGTGCTCCCTCCTTGCACTTACCTCAGGACAAGGCTGGGGAGCCACCTGAGCAAGACAAGCCAGTGTCAGAAGGTGCCAGTTCCTTTGCAAAGGCTGCAGACATCTGAGTTAAGAACTTAGGCCGTACACAACACATCACAGTACCTAATCAAATTTCACCTGTAACTGCTGACTGAACTCAATTTCAATATGGACATGATTTGCATGTGCTGAGAAATATGTATATAGAAAAAACAGACATCAGATTTTAGATTATAATGCACTGCATTCATCGAAAGTATGATCGATGCACTTACACTTCCTGATCATAAAAGTAATACATATGAAGCAGCATTTTAAACAAGAGGGAGGATTACTATTTTTATAGCTCATTAAAGAAAAAGCAAAGACTAGAGACGTACATCCCTTATGATCAAAGCTATGGGCTTCTCAGCTAAGACGTCACTAAGACAAATATTTGCTCTTCATTATTCCAAGAGTTTAACATGTAAACTAAAACTAAAACCTCTCCAGCTTCTCATACAAACCTGGTTATTTAGAAATTTTTGGATATCAATTCATTCTACCTCTGGCTTAAAAACTGTACTCCTAATCCTTTCTTCCCCAAAAATCAAAGTGCTGATTTTGCTGATAGGTGGCACATACAATTATACTAAAACGGCAAGTTTGCAAAAAACAAAAACAAAACCAAAACAAAACAAAGAAGCACAACAAAAAAACTGAGGAGTGCATAGATTTCAGGGCTTTTGCTCAGTGCTGACCTCTAATCCATAGGCTCAGTAACAGCCTTTGATTACAGCAGCACAATCCGTTTTTCCAACAAGATTCCATTTTCCCGAGAGCACAGGCTGGACCCACCCTGATGTGAGCCACTATAGGCAAAACAAGGAAAGCCTCTTTCTGTAGATCTGCTGGGAAATCTGAAATAGGCAGGCAAGAGAGACAGGGAATCGGCGAAGCAGTGAGTGTGATCTCTCAGCTGAATACCTAAGCCACTTTCTCCCAGGAAATTTTAACACACACCCAGGCAACCTTCAGCACCTCGATTTTGCATTTGTCATCACTAGTTTGTATTTCCCATTTTTTGAGTAAATCTCTAGGTCTCACTTGCAGAGATGCCGTGCACTCAAATATGGCCAGGTACTCCACAGGACTGCATTTAAAGTCATGTAACACCTTGTTCTCCAAGTACTCAAGAAAAAGAGTAAAAATCAAAATCAGGTTTGCAGTCCAGAATTTATTGTTAAGTAAAAGGTGTTTCAAAGGTACTCCAATAAGTCCTTGGACCTGAGCCTTACATACCTGAAATCACAGTCTATAAAATAAGGATAGCATCCTGCCCTCCATTTCAGAAATCTGCTATCAAAGTGATTTCCCTTTTGTTTACAACACACTCAGACAAACACCATAAGAAAGCCTGCAAAAATTAAAACCTTTGCCTTCAGGCAAGGGTTTGAATAGAATGGAGTCATGTGGTGAACAACAAGTGAGTGTTGTCTGTTCTGGCACACGAGTACATTGGGAATACAGGACAGAAGGAAACAGGCGCATGGGTCATTAGCTTACCATAAAGCACACATCCAAGAAAAAGGTTAGATGGACATCCTAATCATAATCAGGATCCCAGCATTTCTAAGGGCTTTAACAGAATGCCATGAGAGTCACACTGCATGTACAATTTTCTTGATTAAAAAACAAACATGAACTGCAATGAACTGCATCCAGCAATGTCACACTGACACTTTCATGGCTCAGCCACATTCCTGCACCTTCTCACAGCCAACATTGTTTCTTAACACCTTGTCCTCAACATGTTTTTTTTACCCCTCAGTATTGCAACTGCAGACAGGTTCCCCTTGGAACTTGCACAGCCCTTGGAGGAGTACATGTGAGTGTCTCTCTCTGGATTCAATCTCCTGACTGAACACAAAGGATGGGAAAGGTCAGAGGATGCTTGCTAGACTAGCCAGATACCCAGGAAGAGCAAAGGCCCCTTGTTCCTAAACTGCTAGAAACATGGGAGCATCAACCCTGCTGTGATACATTCAGTCTCTAATCCTGGGTTTAGCACACCCTGACTTTCAGTTTAGTTTTTGTCTCCAACTTTGAGACATGAGGGTTTTCTTTACAAATTGTGCCAGAGGTTTATGAAGAAATTGAGGAGTTCATTTTCAATTCTGCTATGTGGCCCAGTATCAGAGCAGTCTGACTCTCACACAGCTGGGAGAGACCCCCTCCTGCCCATGAGCAGCCACAGCCAGTTAACAACTAAATACCATGTGAGGCCTGGCCCTCCCCTCCCTCATGCCTCAGGACCAAGTGGCCATTGAAGCTTCCTGGCATTTTCCTACCATTTCTTCCCAGGACTGCGAGGAGCATCGCAGCCACGCTTTCACTCTGTCCACATCGTCACCCAAGGCCACCAGATCAAATAAATCAACCTTCCTTTGAAATACCACAAGAACTCTTACGGGTCACACTGACAGATCATACTTACCAAGGGCCATGACCAAACAGATCAAGTTTATGAAACATGCCACTAGATCCTCTACAGACCTTACAGGCAATCCCATAACTCTTCCAATTTATCATCAGTCAGAAGGAATGGGAAATACAGACACCAGGACTGAGCAGGTTCTCCTCACTTTCTCAGCTACTTTGTGGTACCAAGAAGTCTTTTCAGTATATATGAGATGTACCAGTCTCACCCCAGAGACTTTTCAGAGTAAGCCTGAAAAGCAATAAAATCCATGTTTTATCAACAGTGATGAACTTTTTATTTTTTAATTCCCTCAGTTTAGGGATTTTAAAGTTTAGGGATTTTAAAGTGCATGTTGTTCAAGCTATCCAAAGCAGCCTGTTAGAATGGATCTTTCCCAATTCATCATTTTCTACTGTCACCATTTTACTCTCCTAATAGGTAGAGAAGACCCCTAAACAAGATGTAATAAATCCCTGAAGGACCTTACTACTTAAGAACAGTCCATGTAAATGGTTTTTGTTGTAGCATCAATTATTGCATGTGGAATCCACGTAGCATAGGCTCTACAAGATGATGTGTAGTGCTCATGTTCTTACACTCAGACAGTTCTTTGGCTTCTATCTCTTACTGATTGCTAACCTCCATTTCCCCTATGTGGTTTTTACATTATTTCTTCTTTTGCCTTTTAATTGTATTTTTTAAATGAAACTGTGTATTTTTTCACAGTTCCAAAATAGTGATTTTGCATTTTAAGAAAATTCTCACATATCATTCTCATCTTACATTTAAACATTTCCCACCTCTCAGTTTTGCATTACATTTTCTGACTTGTTTTTTTCATTTTAAATATATGAAGTGAACATATTTTGGTTTTTTTTAATATCCTAGATATATAAATGGATGCTTGGATATGCATCATTAGCTACAATGCTCAAGTATGCAAGTTTCCATGAAACTGCTTTGTATTAATAGCAGTAGATAAATACAGGACTAGAAATCCATGGAATTATCTATATGGATAAGTGTATTTATGGACTACCTAAGTAATTTATTCAGAATTCAGGAGAGATGCAGAAAGGAAAGAAATCTTACTCCAGAGAGACTAGAAAAAATGGAGACTATAAAACCAAACCAAAATTATCATAGAACTGTGAGAAAAAAATAAGATTTACTCCTCTGTCACTAAAAGACCATAAAAATATCTAGATTAAGGAATACTAGGAATAAAGAAGGGCATCACACAATCACCAAAGAGGTAGCTGAAAACTTAATGCAAATTGAGGAGGAAGTAGGACTTTCAGCAGTGCACAGTAGTGATCTTCAGGTCACACCAGGAGAAAAAATACCTTATCTTTCCTTTCAGAAGCTCCAGATATCCTGCTTGAGAGAACAGCTCAGATGCAGCCACACCTGACCATCAGTCAGAAAAGGCTGCTTAATCACAGTTGTCAGAGAAAAGAGACACAGTGGGAACAAGGAAAGGCTGCTAGTAAAGCAGGTCAGGAGAAGGGATAAGAGAGTCATATCTATTTAAAGATCTGATTCTACAAGAACTATTATTAATAATTTCCCTCTATAAGATGACACATAAATCTTTACAGTAGCAAATGCAGACCTAATAGGCAAAGAATATAAGGGGAGCAAGGCTTTTTGTAGGGAAAGGCAAGGTCTTTTATTAGAACAGCTGGGAAAAAAAGCAAAATGAAGTAGACAGAAAACATTTTGAATTTAGAGTCCTTCCAGTTTTACACATCTAACACTGAGGAACACCATTCACCACCCTGTAATGCTCTGCAGAATGTAGAATGCAGACTCTAGTCTGTCTGTGTGACTTCTTGTAGTGGGAAAATACCTCAGAAAGAGAAGTATTGAGGACCAAACTAGTATTCTTCCCACCCCTTCCCCCATCTTAGCTAATATCAGTGGGAGCTGAAAGCCTTTTGCTTGATGTGAAGCAAAAAAATAGATAAATATTTTACATGACAGCCACAATTAATAGAAAGAAATTAATGAGTTCCCTTTTTAGTAAAAGGAGTTCAGCATAGAAGTAAAAATTAAATCACATAAAATGTATCCTAGGAGAATAAACATGGAAAGAAGCTAAGCACACAGCACTAGAGTTTTGAGAAGTAAGAGTCACTGCTGTGCATTGGAAAGAAGGGACAAAGACGAGCTGAGATTCACAGTGCCAGTCTATCCAGCCTCTGCTGTGCAGGACTGGCGTCACAGTTGGAAGCCAAGCTGAAGAACTGCTCTCACTTTCTTAAGATAGCATTTCCATTTTGTGCCTCAATGGAAGCACTTTTCCCAACTCCTACTCTCTCTGTGCTAATATGTACCTGCTGGAACACTAAGTCCTGCTATTTACCATTAACCATACATAACCCATTGACTTCATGGGTCAGCCCACTACATTATTTATACCACCAAATGCAGGACTTTTATTTATACTTCATGGCCTGCTTGGCTTTGCACCATGTGCCACAATAGTAGAAGATCCATAGCTTTCTCTCCCGTCACCCTGGGGGCCCCGAGTGACATCTGCCACCACGAAAGCCTGGCAATCTACTGCAGCAATGAGAACACCCCCATGCTAGAACGGGAACAACAGGTCCCTTTCACCTTGCTGCAAAAATCACAGCGCTACAGACAACACCGCACGTTCCTCAGCACTCAACTGGAAGGAAGCGTCGGGGTTAGGAGGACGCCCACCGAGAATCAGGCCCTGCGCTGGGCCCCCGAAGGGGCTCTCTGAGGACGCGGTCCCACCCAGCACTGCAGCATTTTTAGCAGAGAGGGAGGCGCACAAGACCCCGGGATGGGGTCAGGGCCGCG